GGTTTTTGACTAAATCCTTGAGCTACCAGTCAAGCCTTATACCTTGCAACAGAACCATTTTCATGTCTTTTGATTTTATAAATCCATTTGCTACCAACAATGTTTTTCTGGTGAGGACAAGGGACCAAAGACCACGTACCTTGCATATGTAATGCATCAATCTCTTCTTGAATTGCTTGAAGCCAAGCAGGAGACTGAGATGCTACTTTATAAGAAAGGGGTTCATTCTCTTCATGAATAATAGGTAAGCTGGTATGATAACAATGATAATCAGGAAAAGACTTTTGTTGACTAAGACCACTCTTAGCCCTAGTCTGCATAGGATGAACATTAGTAGACTGAGGAGTAGATGACACACTAGATGCAGAAGAAGTATCATCACTAGAAGAAGAAATAGGCAGAATAGCTTGTAATTGCTGATCAGTTAGAGTATTAGAAATGACATCTGTACCAATATCATGCTGCATGGAATCAATTGTACCAATATCCTGAGGCATTGAATTCTCTTGAGACAGTGAACTATGAGAATCACTAGAGACTAAATTGGGCATAGAGATCACTAGTGGAGCTGTAGTAGCTGAAGACATAAATGAAGGCATGGAACTGGATTCTGTAAAACCGTGAAAAGGATAGCAGGTCTCATCGTGGACTACATGTCTAGATATCACAAATTTTCCAGTATGAAGATTGTAACATATAACTCATTTATATCCTTGAGCATATCCAAGAAAAACACACGAAGCAGTCCTAGGTTCAAGTTTATGTACTTTGTAAGGTCTCAAATACGGATATACTGCAGTCCCAAATACCTTAATATGTGTAATATTAGGAACACTACCATACAACCTATAATAAGGAGACTGATAAGACAAGCTCTTACTAGGCATTCGATTTATCAAATAAGCAGCATGAGCAGTGGCATGAAACCAAAATGAACTAGACAGATGTGCAGCAGTTAAAAGAGTGATAGCAGTTTCAATCAAGTGCCTATTCTTTCTCTCAGCCAATCCATTTTGCTGAGGAGTATATGGACAAGAAAACTGATGTTCAATGCCCTTAGAGGCCAAAAAATCAGTAAAAACCTTACTAACAAACTCTCCACCTCCATCACTTTGAAAACACTTGATATTGGCATTAAATTGATTACCAAGCAAGGCATAAAATTTGAGAAACATAGGAAATACTTCTGATTTATGATAGAGTGGATATAACCACATATAACCAGTACACTCATCAACAAAGATTACATAGAATCTATAGCCATCCACAGACTTCACCCTAGACGGCCCCCACACATCGCTATGTATTTTCTGAAAAGGGATAGAGACTCTTACATGAGTAGTAGGAAAAGGAAGTTTGTGCATTTTCCCATGAAGACAAGCAGGACAAACAAAAGACCGACAATCATCACTGTATGAGATGTTGTAATCCTTGAGCATAAGTTGCACCACTTCATTAGTTGGATGCCCCAACCGTTGATGCCATAGAGAAGACTTAACCCGCTGACCAAGAAAAGCTACGGATGAACTTGAACCAGATTTTGAATGCTTTGACTTCTGCAGAGACGACCTCACAGAATTAGGGATGGGATATAGACCGTGACTACTCTTTCCTTGGAAGAGGATTTGCTTGGTGAACTTGTCCTGTATATAAAATCCAGACACATCAAATACAACATTACAGTTGTTATCTTGGCATAATTGGTACACAGATAATAAATTGGCCTTGAGTTGAGGCACATGAAAGACAGAGGGAAGACGTAAAGAAGAATCAGCACAATGAAGTTTAGCATTGCCTATATGACTTATATGCAAACCTTCCCCATTGCCCACAGTAACATTCTCAGCAGAATCACAAGCAGTCACATTAGTCAACTGATCCAAATTAGACACCATATGATGTGTAGCACCACTGTCTGTGATCCACACTTGATCTGGATTATAGGTTGTCTGAGCAGTCATAGCAGTCAAGGAGGGAGGAGGACGCTGACCTTGAAAGGCATAGTTAGACCGATGGAAACAGTCTAACGCCCCATGACCCTTCTTACCACAAATCTGACACTCAAGCACAGAGGCAGCATTGGATGGAGAAGAATTGCGAAAATAGCAATTAGCAGTTGTATGGCCACGCTTACTGCAGATTTGACACTCTGGAATAGCAGATTTGTTTGATGAAAAACCACCACGAAAACCATTTGAGGAGGAACCAGTTCTGCCATAGGCACCCTTACCACGGCCATAATTGCCATTGAAATTAAAACGAGAACCAGAGAAGTTCGAAGGAGCACTCCCAATATAGCCAATTGGTCCTTGAACTGGTGTAGCAAGCAAACCTTGACTAGAATGAACAGAAGAGGAAGAAGCACCGCCATAGCTCACAGCAGATGCATTTGAAGCGTTGGATATGGAATGTGGAGTAAACATAGCAGAATGAGTAACGATTCTCGCCTCAGCAGTCTGTTCAGCCGCAAGAAGTTGAGCTCTGAAATCTTTGAAAGAAATCGGGGTATCACGAGCAATCAATACCGTCTTGATCATATCATATTCCGGTGGTAAACCATTCAATGCTGCAATAATGAAATCATCGTCTGAAAGCTTCACACCAGCGGCTTGCAATTGATCGCGCACATGTTTCAGACGAAGAAGATAACGTTCTATGGAATCTCCGCCTTTCTGAGCCGTCTGCAGCTCAGTCTTCAAGTGATTGATGCGAGCCCTAGAAACGGACGCATAACGATCTGTAAGATTGAGCCATGCCTCTCGTGCTGTGCGACTACCGATCACATACTCAATTGCCTCGTCAGAGAGAGAGGCAATAAGCAAGCTTAATAAGGCTTTATCAGTACGCAACCACGCCTTGTAAGCCTCAGTAATCTCAGAAGTAACACCTTCCTCATCCAAGATGGCGAATTTCGGAGGAGGAACCACCGATCCATCAAAATGCCCAAATAGGTCATAACCTTGAAGCAAAGCTTCGAGCTGATAGCTCCACTTGAGATAATTTCCATCATTCAATCGAATGGTGAGCAGACCAAGGAGACCTTCAATTTTGAGAGAGGACGCCATGATAGAGCAAGTGAAGAACAATCGAAAAATAGGAAATCGACCGGGAGAAGAAAAATAAGAGAAATTGAGAACAACGATTCAGGAAGAAAGAAGAAATACAGTGAAATAGACCACAGAAAACGAAGAAAGGAGGAAGAAAGAACGAAGAAATCAAGGAAACTACGAAGGAGACGCCATGGAAGTCAGAAAAATCTGAAGAACGGAAGAGAAAAATTGGGGATCGAGAAGGAGAAGGAGAAAATTAGAGAATGAGGATCGAATTTGTGATAGCCACTGAGGGCTCTGATACCATGTTAACAGTTTAGAAAAGGAAGCTTAAGAGTTGAGAAAGCTGAGAAGGAAGAAGAAGATTCAAGAAAATGATATGCTCTGTATATTGATCTTTCAGAATGGAATTACAATTGTGTGTCAACAGTTTTATATATCTCTGTAACCAAGACTTAACAACCTAACTAATTACAGCTAATACTAACAAACAACACGTGAGCACACACGTGACAGCTTAACTGAATACAAACTAACTAATATTGTTATCAACACCTAGAAAATCAATTTTGACTACATATTATCGTTGGAGTAGGGATTCAAGCTAATAATAAAATCACATTCACACCAATACAACAGACCATTGTGAGGAACACTGGCATCGGAACACAAATGATTCTCACTAAAGCTTCGTGGGCTTGATGCAACAGTCTCTGTTCATTTACCACTCTCACAACATAACATATGCAAGTTGAATTGAAAGGAATTATCCCCTGGACTCTCATGAATCATTATTTGCATAATCTTGTCCTTGTAGTATTCTTCTTTTCCATCTCCAATGCCATCATCTTCCTTAGGACTGCATATGAATTCGGCTCGTATGTTATTGTGACATCGAGGGGTGGGAGGCAGAGCACACCCACTGCTTGTGTAGAGATTGCAGATGTCACGTTGATTGAGGCAATGTGTGCAGCAACAAACTAGATCATTATAGGTCCCAACCAAAAGTAGTACCCAAAGGCAATTTGCGTTGTTGCCCATTTTGAATGTGGGTTGCTTGTCTATTGAAAAAAATTACGTCAACTCTCTCGTATCATTCAAGAAAATCAGGGTACGTATAATGGGTTTTTGCTCTTCAACCAATACAAGGTCAGGCAGGTCATCAATATATTCATGAATTTTGATGATGATATCGGCAATTCTTTTAATCTTTTAAAGTCAGACTGAACATGATCAGAGGATTGTTCAACTCTATTTAGTGACTGCATGTTATTGTATATACCTAATTAAATTGGGATATATCATGATTTGGTAAGTACAAATCTGAGGATATATATGTGGTTCACCCTTACATAGTAGAAGAGATTGATTCAAACATAATATCTATAATGAGAGAGATCATTGCAAAGTGGGGGAGTGGTATCCATTTATAGGTGAGGGAGAGTCTTCAATTCTTGAAATTTTGAAATGGAGCTCAAAGCACTTCTTCTGGTGACAACACGTGGTGGTGCTCCATTTGCTATGGCGATGGCCTATGGTTGCATGACACGTGATGTTCATGCTAAGCTAGTCGTTCAGTTATTCATGTTACAAACAAATTTTACTAACAATAATACTATTTGTATCAGATTTATTGATCACATTATTCTCCACGTCTCTAATAGAGGTGGGCCCACTAATATATGTATGATGTTGGTTTGCATCATAATGTGTTCATACTATACTTAAGAATACCCGATCTGATGACCAAGAACAAGAATGGATGCACTTGGAACTTGTCATCTCTTTAAAGACCCCTTCACTTCAATCTGTCTTACTCTTGGCTTCCCTCTGATAAAAACTATGAACTTTAGATTTCTCATCAATCATCTGCCCATACAAAACTATCATCTGTTAGACTTGTAACTTGTAAGGAAGGATAATATCCCAAAGTGGCATAAAGATCAATACATGGAGCCAACTGCAGGTCCAGAGCTCCCGAGCCAAATTACATGCTTTGAGATTCTCCCAAGGCTGCCGTCCAAGTCTCTCATGCGCTTCAAATGTGTATGCAAGTCTTGGTCTTCTCTCATCTGCGACCCTTCCTTTGTCAGCGCCCATCAAAACTTGGGATGCAACAAGAACACTCACCTCCTCCTCACTGCCTGGGACAAACCCACAACGCAGCGACACTTCTTCTCCTTGGAAATCAACCAACAAGGAAGTTTAATACCCGTCCATCTTCTAAGCCTTCCAACGCTGCGAACCAAGAATGAACATCTCTACCATGTGCAAAGCATCAACGGCTTGGTCTGTCTTTACCTTCATAACACCTCAGTTCCCAATCAAACCGATCCTGAACACCCCATTCGCATATTTAACCCCTCCACGCGAGAGTCTATCACTCTTCCCCATGCTTCACTTGCATCACACACTACCAATGTTGCACACCATTTCGGGTTCAGCCCTCTTACAAATGAGTATAAGGTTCTCCAAGTGCAAAAGCTCATCCCTGATGCCTTGAGGGGTAATCATTTTGTGTTCAAGATATTCAAATTGGGGACAAGTTCATGGAGGCGCATAGAGGTAGACCTTAATGATCTCCCTTTTGATCCTCTTAACTGCCCGTTTCATAAGCGAAGTGTTTGTGTCAATGGGGCTGTACATTGGATGCATTGGACAGAAAATGTCATAGTGGTTTTCGACATTGGAGATGAGAAATTCAAAGCAATTCCACTTCCTGAAGATTATAATTGTTTTATACATCGTGTTGATTATCCTATTGGGAGCATAGTTGAAGTGGATGGATGTGTGGCTCTAATAGGTGACAAGCGGTTGATGAGGATGGGGATGATAGGGTTGTGGATATTGAGGGACTACCAAAATCAGGTTTGGGTGAAGGAGACCATCTCTTTTCCCTTTCATTGGGAGAAAGCAGGGTACCCCGTTCCTTTTTGTACCATTCACACAGGTGAGCTCCTCCTCCACTCTTCTAGGTTAAGCAGACATAAGCCTGCTCATCCGAGGGTGCTTCTATACAATATGGAGAGCAAAAGTTTTAGAGAAAGTGATGAAATTGTTTTGCCCCCAGAATCAACATGTCTGAACGTTGTTCGATTGAAGTTACTTGCTAGTTATGACGATAGCATTGTGCCCTTAACTAAGATGAGATATGGCATATCTCATCATCAAGCTTCAATTCAAATGGTTCACCAAGAAAATGCAACTTGTTTTTGTGGTGTTCTTTAGGTACATCTGCTTCCTATTCAAAGGATATATAGATATTATCTCGAGAAACGTAGGCCTTTGTACTCATATATGGCTCTGAAACTTCTTTTTTTAACTTCTTGGTTTCTCTCATTTTCCTGAAAGTCCATTGATCGTTCAATTCTATTTGAACATGTGCATTTTCAGTTCTTTACTGAGGGAGAGCAAATTCTGCAACACCACCAGTTAATTTTGAGTTGGTGGGGTGAAAGGTTAACCATTCTTTAACCTAAAGTTTAGAAAACTTGAGTTATTTTTGTATTTTTAATTAGGACTTTTAAAGCGAGTTAACCAAAGCAGTTTTGGCTGCATATAGTCAGCATATAGCGATGAACTCAAAACTTAGAACTTGTCAATTCTTTGAAGACCCCTTCAATCTGTCCTGGACCTCTTGGCTTCCACCTGATAAAAACTATGAACTTCATTTTTGGAGAAATTTGTAGGATATATAAACCACCTGAGTTACATTGTAGTTGTAGGATATATAAACCATATTTTGGTTTCTATAGTTTGACTTATTATTCACCATGGTTCTTGTAATTTCACTTTTTTGGAAATTTTGGCCATCGTAATTTTGTTTGGTTTGTAATCAAGTTGAAATCGTAAACGCCGTTAAATTAGAGCATGTTTGATAACCATTTCAATTTTAGTTTTTAGTTTTCATTTTTTGTGCTAAAGTATTGAGTAAAAATAGGGAGAATGGAAGTGAGAATGAGAGTGGAGATGAGATTGAGAGGGGAAGATGAGAGGAGAGGATGAGAGAGAGGAGTAACGAAAGTGAAAACAAAAACTAAAAATTGAAATCTATTTTCAAATTGTTTTCACTTTCAAGATTTTGTTTTCACTTTTGTTACTCCTCCCTCTTATCCTCCCCTCTCATCCTCTCTCTCAATCTCATCACTTCCATTCTCACTCTCATTTTCCTTTATACTCTAGCACAAAAAATAAAAACAAAAAGCTAAAATTGAAATGATTATCAAACGGGTAAGTGAAATTTGAAATAATAGCATACAACCACCACATGTATATGTATTTGTTATAAAAGTGTTGCTATTTTCACCATTTGTCTTATCTCTAAGGCACGCTACATGTGTAAGCGCATATGACGAACTTTTATGTGCTTCAATCGGGTTTTTTCTCAAGAAAGGATCGCATTGAGCTAGGAATATTTTTGGGCCTCAATAATGATGCTGTCTTTGATTCCCCTTTAGAGCAAGTCCACCGCATGCCCTTTTGCCAGGGCAACAGGCCCCCCCAGCATGAAATGGACCTCCAGCGCAGGAAAAGCAGCCCGGGCAAGCCCTGGGTCCCACCAGCCCGGGCAAGCCCAAGGGCAGATCTTGACTGGGCTTCAGCCCGAAGGCGCTGACGTCATGCTGACGTCAGCGAAGCAAATCAATTTTTTTTTTTGGTTAAAAAAAATCAAAAAAAAATCAAAAAAATACCAAAAAATTCTGGATTTTTTCTCTATAAATACCTATCAATTTCATTCACTTTCCACACCAATTTTCATATAAACTCTTCTCCTTCCGTATGTATGAAGAATTGTTGTATTGTTTCCCTTTTATTCAATAAAGAAAGCATTAAATAATATGAATATTTATTATAAATATTTGCAAATGAAAACAAAGTTTAATTAAAAACAAACGTATAAAAAAATTATGGACACGTGGCAACCAAAATTATGGACACGTGGCAACCAAAATTAATGGTTTAAAGTATAAAAAAATAGGAAATAAAGTACAATGAATAGTATTTGCCCTTGCCCTAGCCTTTTGGGGTGGAACCAAAAAAGGCCCCTTGCCTTGCCTTAGCCCTTTGGGGTGGACTTGCTCTTAATGTATCAATTCAACATAAACACTCTTCTCACTCACCCCCTCTCTTCCTACGTAACTTGTTTTTCCCCCATTGACCAATTAATATTACAAACTCATACTTTTACTTGTTTGATAAATTGTTCAGTTGTGTATATTAACTTGTAAGCATATAACTACTTTGCATGAGTTTGTAATTATAAACATCGTTGGTCCATAAACCAAAAGAAAAGCAATATGGTACCCTCCATCAATCTTTCCTGTATAAAAATTTTCAAAAACATAAAAATATAAAAAATAAAAAAGCCCAAACCGCAATTTTACAAGAAAGGGGTGGACATTTGAACTAATGAACCAATTAACCGAATTGAAAAAAATCGAAAAACAAAACCGTGTTGACAAAAAAAAAAGTCTACCTATGCTCAAAATTTTAACTAAACTGAACCGTTTTGGATCGTTATCATCACGGTTCTTCTATTGGAAAAATCGGTATAAATTATTAGAAAACCTAATTAATATTCAAATAACACTAGTAACCCCAAGTAATATATAGATATTTTAGCCCAATTAATACTCAAATGTTTTAGTTCCAATTTATTCCCAACTAAATAACTACTCTAGCCCATTTTCTTTTTCTTTTTGGTGAACCATATCTGTTATTGTTGTGCTTTTGTCTTTCTCTTTCTTCCACATATTTCTTTCTAGGGCCTCTCTTTCTATTTCTCTTCCTATTTATCTCTTCACCTCTTTCTCTCTTATTTTTATCTCTTCTACCTCTTTTTCTCTTATTTTATCTATTGTACATATTTTTCTCTTCTTCCTATTTTTCTACATCCTAGAATAGGTCTGGTTTGATTAGATTTTTCTAGACACTTTCAATAAAAACTAAATCTGATTGGACCGTGTGTAAGTTCCAGTTTCGGTTCCAATTCAAGAGGAAAACTAGATTGAACCAGACTGTGCCCACCCATTTATCTTCTTTACCGAGAGAAAAGACTCTTAGTGGCTCCCTATAATTAAATGATGTCTTACATTAATGCTATTTTAGGTGTTTATATAATGCTAACTATTTATTATTATTATTTTATATGAAGAGGGAGCATTTATGCTAAACTAAAAAAAGAAAGAAGCACGTTTGGAGTTGAAATTTTATAAGGAGCTCTTAAAATATATTTCTAGTGTTTTTAGCTAAATTTTAACTAAAAAATAAGGAGCATGATTGTGAATGCGATGAGCAATGATATAAAGAGGTTGCTTATCTTTTTAGGTGCCCTTTGTCATATTTAGATGCCCTTAAATATATTCAAATATTTAAACAATATAGTCGCGCAGCTATATTCTTCACATATAGTATGTTTTAATTATTATTTAATATAAAAAAATAAAAAATAAAGTCCACAAAATAATTTAAAATAATTAATTACTATTTATTAAGTAATTTATGAAATCAATAAAATATTTAAATATTCACTAAAGAAATAATCATTAAAACATAATTATTAATTAAATTAATTTAAAAAATATAATACTTAATTACATATATTAAATTAAGGAAATTTGCCAAAAAACAAAAATAAAGAAACTAATTTATATTTTTAAAATTTATTATAAATAAAAAATATAAAAAATAAAAGTAAAAACACCTCTCCCGACCAAATTTCGTCAGTACATGTCTACGCTAGCGAATATTTGCCGAATTAGAGGTCTCCCGAAGAAATTTACCTTTATCGATGAAATGTCGTCGGGAGAGATTTAATACGGCAGAGTTTCGCCGGGTTAGACCTGTGCCGACGCAATTTCATCGAGAGAGATTTTTTTTAAAAATAAAAATAAATTTAGTATCTTTAGGTCAATATATTTTAAAAAAAAATTTCTATAATTAAATAATATCTTAACTTTATTTAATTACTTTCATTAGTAATTATTTTTTAATTATTATTTCTTTATTGAATAATTAGTATTAATTATTTTAAATAACTTCATAAATTATATTACTTAATAAATAGTACTTTTTTAAAAAAAAATTGTTCTTTAATTAAATATTTAAATACAAATTATTCACTAATTAAATAATAATTAAAACATAACTATTCATTAAAGTAATTAAAAAAAAGAAAGTCATAGTATGATTTTTAAACGGTATAGCCGAGCGGCTATACTGTCAAAATTATTTATACCGTATAGCCGCGCGGCTATACCTTAAAATATTCTATTTAAAGACTATAGCCGCGCGGCTCTACTGTTAAAATTATTTATACAGTATAGCCGACCGGCTTTACCGTAAAAATATTTTATTTAAAGACTATAGCCGCGCGGCTATACCGTAAAAATGTTCTATTTAAAGACTATAGCCGCGCGGCTATACTGTTACAATTTTCTATTTAACGAGTATAGCCGGCGGCTATACCTTTAAAATATTCTATTTATAGAGTAGAGTATGGCCGTTCGGCTATACCTTTAAAATATTATATTTACAGAGTATAGCCGTCCGGCCATACCCTTAAAATATTCTAATTTTTAGTAAATAAAACTAATAATTGAAGAATAAAAAAAGACCCAACAGCGAACTCCCACAGCAACCCCAAATCCGCCGGCCACCAAAACTCCCACCCACCTAATCTCGTCAGCCGCCGGCAAAGCCTCCTTTTCGCTTTCTCTCTATCTCCTTTTTTCTACCTCTGTCCCCAAACTTCATCTCCCTTGATTTCTCTGCTTCACGCTCGATCTCCCTCTCTCTTTCAAAGAAGAAGCCAGAAGAGCAGGGGAAGGAGATAGGTCTGGATTCAGAATCAAGTGGGAGAGAGAGAGAGAGAGAGAGAGAGAGAGAGAGAGAGAGAGAAAGGGAAAATGGTAACAGGGGAATTGAACTCCTTCCTTATCTCTGTTGCAAAATCTCTCTCCGTAACTTTGGGAAAGCCAAAGCGGCAAAACGGCTGCGTTTAAAACAGTTCCACCATCCTCCTCAGTCACTCCTCTGTCTACCTTGCAAGCTTGCAGGCGCTCCATAGCTCCACAGCTGCACAAACGGTTCTTCTTCTACTCTTCTTTTTCTTGTAATTTAACTTCTCATTCTGTTTCTACATTCTAATGTCCTGATTCAGAAATTAGGGGTTTAGGGATTCAATTAATGTCTAATTTCTGATTTTACATAAATGCCTAATTTCCTGT